GTATGTACCACCACTGCCCAGCTGAGAGCTCATATCTTAACCCACAGGCAGGAAGCAGAGAGGGACTGGAACAGCCAGAGTCTTTGAAATCGCAAAGCCCACCTCCCAGTGATGTACTCCTAGCAGCAAGGCCGCAGCTCCCAGACAGCACCACCAGCTGGAGACCAAGTGTTCAGTGCTGCAGACTATGGAGGACCTCTTACTCAAACTGCCGTAGGTGGCAAAGCTAAGTGGTGTAACACCTGAGTAGTGTAAAGAAGCAGAACACACACACACACACACACACACACACACACACACACACACACAGAACTAAAGGCCTCATGGCAAGAACTAACTATAGCAGGTGGGGGCAGTGGCCCAGGACATCTAAGCTGGACTCGAGTTCAACAGTTTTCTTTATGATTCTGACTTCCACTGGGGTCCTAAGCAGGGGTTTCCATGGGTTTCTGAGGAGGACTGCAATCTAGGTCTACCTGTAGATTTAAGGCTTTATATTATGTTGAAAAACCCTTCCTTTTTTTTTTTTCTGAGCCCAATGTGTCATTTTGTAGTTTCTTACCCTTTGATTCTAGCTCTTGAAGCCCTTCTCACAGCAGAACAAAGCACCAGTCTGGCCTTTCTGTCTTAGAATTGACCGTCCCCTGCTCTTCTGATGACCTCCAAGGTTCCTCCGGTGCACTGCAGAGCGCTAGGCAACCGGTCCTTAGGCAGCAACAGCTGGTGTTTAAGGGCACCATTCCAGAGGAGGCTGCCCACATTCTGGCGCTTCTTCCCGGCCAGGAATGCTGGGGTAACATAACTCAACCTCTTGACCCCTAGTCTCCTGACCTACCTCATCCAGACCGGAGGAAGGCCTGGGTGCTTTCAGCAATGCCTGAGGCAGTGCCAGAGCTCAGTAGACAGTCTGCTGCGAGTGTCAAAATATCCCCACAACCAGAGAGGACAGAAAGAGTCCTTTGAGTCCACAAGGCCATGCCCAGTGGTGCTTTGATTTTCCAAGATGAACACAGCCATGGTCCGAGTCTCCATCACAGGACCTTGCCTGCGTGGCACCCCCTCCTAGTTTCTGCTGTTCCGAAGTGTAACCTTTGCAGCTGCAGGGACTGGCTGACCTCTGCTGTCCATTGTCTGTATGGCACTAAGTGAGCTGGCTTTGGATGCTACTCAGCCAGGGAGACCTCAGCAATGTCCTTTTCTCCGCGACTTTTGACGGTCGTTCTCAGTAGAGATGTACTCTACCCTGGGACTCTATACAAACAACTGACAATTTCACTATGAGGAGAACTCTGATATACTGTGGTTTTTGTATTTTACCTCATGAACAAGAAGAAAATGCTAGTTACATTAAACTTCTGTATCCAGTGGAATCTGAAAACACTGGTTCAGCCTTCCAGCGAGTCCTGACTGAGCTTCCCAACCTTGGTGTGCACCAGGCCTTCAGTCACACCCAAGCTTGCTGCTCATGCATTCAGACTATCCTTCCTTTAAATCAATGAACTTAAACCTTTTAAATGCCCACTCTGGCCTACATAAAATACTGGTGAGATCACAATGTTGAGGGCAAGCTGGTTTTTTATCAAAGACAAACTAAAACAAAAACTATCAAAATTATATGCAAAAAAAAAAAAAAAAGTTTCTGGGCTTTCTAATTCCACGCCTCAGCTGGAGAACTAGGGATTTTGTCCACAGTGGGGGAAGTGCGCCACCTATAGGTGGATTCACTTATCCACAGAACTGCCCAAATGTCTGTACAGACACTGAAAAGTTCTGTGCATCGTCATTTTCAGAGGTTCTGATTTGTCCCATGATGCATGATAGACCTGATTCACACTGAGATTTACTACTTCCATTTTTGTCCTTACTCCGAAACCAATGAGTTTTTCAGGCCCTGACTTTCTTCTGTAGGTCCTTGGCAAACTCAGAAGCCCTCAGATTACAGCCTGTCTTAACTAATGGATGAAGTAGCCTTAGGTTTGAACACACGCTAAGGAGCTTTAAGTCCTTCTCTTATGGCCTTTTTAAAGAACAATATGGACAGGCCATTGACATTAAATATGTGTTTCCACCGGTGAACTCTGCTGATGAATGGGGAGAGAGCCCTACAGATGACCCAAGTGCTGTGTGACTGGGGAACAAAGGGAGCAGAGTAGCTTGACGATTTTTGATTTTTTTATTTTAGGACCAGGATCCGTTTATAAAAGAAATCTTATGAAGCACAGAGTAGACCTGGGGTGGATGATTTCTTAACAGATATGCAGGTGAATCTGTGAGGGTATCCAGAGGAATCGCACCAAGTGCCTGCAAAAACGGGTAAGTTTTCTCCAGACAATGGCAGGTGCAAGCACCCATGGAATCCTTAAGCTCTCAAACAGTTCTCAGCTCTAAAGAATTCTTGAGCCCTTGAACAGACTGGCTGCCAGGCACGATGGTGCATTCAGGAGGTAGTGGCCGGCTGAACAGTCTGCCCCCTCAGTGAGAGCAGTCTCTAAAAACAAAGTGGGGGGAGGCATAGTGATTATCATGCCTCTTTGACAGTAACATATATGTTCGGACACACAAGTTTTGTTGACATGTCTTTAGACTGTAAAACACTGTCCACACATGGGTGGGGCAGGGATGTTGTATAAACACAAACCACAGACCTCACCTGGGGACTCAATTATAGTTCCAACCAAACACTGAACAATTTTCTGATGGACTTTACTGGGGCCAAGCCCTCTTCTGGGAAACCATTCACCAGTATTCAGTTCATATCAACCTTGTGAATAAATGGCCCTTAAAGCCAACAGGTCTCCCAATCCTTAACTAGACTTCTTGTTTCCTTTTATTTAGGTTAATGATGATGTCTCACTGTCCACTCTCTGTCAAATGGACTTATCAGACACTTGTTAGATGGGCTTCAACGTCCATTGTTTCCTTGCTGCAACACCGTAGTAAAAACTCCAACTCCGGGCCAAGTAAAATGTCCAGGCCTGGCCTCCCTCCGTCTCTCATAAGCAATGCGATGTGTTCTAAGTTAGATTTTATTTCCTATTATTACTGTACGCATATATGGTAACTCTAAGGATGGATGCACTAGTGCTAGTGTCTGTTTGGAAGTCAGAGGACAGCTTTCCTGTTCCCCTCCTACCATGGGTCCTGGTGGTGGGACCACAACCTATCAGGCTTACTCATCTTCTACCTGCTGAGCCATCTCACCAGTCTTGTTTAATTTAAAAAAATATTCTCTCTCTCTCTCTCTCTCTCTCTCTCTCTCTCTCTCTCTCTCTCTCTGTGTGTGTGTGTGTGTGTGTGTGTGTGTGCAAGTGCCCAAGGAGGCAGGGAAAGGGTGACAGACCCCATGATGCTAGAGTTACAAGCCATTGAGAGTACCCAACCTGGGTGCTCGGAACTAAACTGGGGTCCTCTGTAAGAGCAGTAGGTGTTCTTAATCACTCTGTCTACATCTGAGCCATCTCTCCAGCTCCCTTGTTTTTAAAAATACTATGACCCACTAAATTGATTTCTCCAGTCTTTAATAGTTTTGACTTGAAGGTTAAAAATCACTGGGGCAGTATTCCTGGTAGGTCAGTTTAGGAAGACAGAAACGCGGCTGCCAATCATGAAATGAATCCAAAGAAGGAAATCAGGCAACATAAAGGCACACAGTGGGAGATGAGAAACTGGCTCCTGTTTTTAAAGAGAGAGCTGGGTTGTGGCGCATGCCTTTAATCCCAGCACTTCAGAGGTAGAGATAGGTGAATCTCTAAGTTTGAGGCTAACCTAGTCTACAGAGCAAGTTCCAGGACAACCAGGACTACACAGAAAATTCCTGTCTCGGAAAACAAACAAACAAAACCCCACAACAACACAAACACAAAACTCATAACCACAATCAATAAAAAAAAAAAAAAAAAAAAACAACCCAAGATTAAAGAGAGGGAGGGAGGGAAGGGAAAAGAGAGAGAGAGTTAAAATTCAAAGAGGGAAGTGTTCCCTAAACTTTAAGAATATGCGTGTAGGGGCTGGAGAGATGGCTCAGTGGCTGAGTGGTGTTCTTACATGGGACAGTTTGGTTCCCAGCATCCATATCAGGCAGTTCACAACCACCTGAAACTCCAGCTCCACGAATCCCACTCTCTTTTCTGGCCTCCATGGGCATCAGTACACACACAGCATACAGTTCCATAAACATATATATACATAAATAAGTTTTTATTTTTTAAAAAGAATATGTATATAATGCAAATAAAATCTGAACTAAAATATTTAGTATTCATAAACAAGCTAAAATATTTAGTATTCATAAACAAATCACTAAGAAAAACTGAAAAGAATGAGCAAAGGCTATGAACAGGCAATTCAGACAGGAAGGGAGGGAGGGGATCTGTGTGCTCAGTAGCAGACAGGAGAGCAGAGACTGGACCTACTAAAGCTGAGACATTCAGAGGACCCCTGTAGAGTTGAAACTCAAACTTCTGAGAACAAATGATCAGCTATGTTTAATAAAATGGGTTCTTCAAATAGAAAATTTAAATTCAAGATGCCCGATCATATGACAAAAGCATTTGTTCAACTATGTTCATAGCAGTATTATTTGTAATAGCCAGAGCCTGGAAACAACCTAGATGTCCTTCAATGGAAGAATGGATGAAGAAAGTGTGGAATATATACACATTAGAGTACTACGCTGCGGTAAAAAACAATGATTTCTCGAATTTTGCGTGCAAATGGATGGAAATAGAAAACACTATCCTGAGTGAGGTAACCCAGACCCAAAAAGATGAACATGGGATGTACTCACTCATAATTGGTTTCTAGCCATAAATACGGGTCACGGAGTCTACAATTGGTGAACCTAAAGAAGCTAAATAAGAAGGTGAACCCAAGGAAAAACATATAGTTGTCCTCTTGGCTATGGGAAGTAGACAAAATTGCCGGGGAGAAAAGTGGGATCTTGTGGGTGGGGTGGGGTGGGGGTAAGGGGAGATGGGGAGAGAAAATTAAGAAGGGGAGGATGGGGGGAACTTGGGGAAACAGGATGATTGGGATAAAAGAAGGCTGGATAGGGGAGCACGGAAAAATTTTCTACTTTTCATTAAATTATATTCAGCTGCCGCTAAGGGAATGGCACTGCAACTGCCAGGGTTCAGTGTGGCTGGTTTCAGGGACTTCACAGGAAGCCTACAGAGGCACTGTGAGGGCCCCAGGCAGGAAGTGTCCCTGGTCCTCTAGAGGGAATGCATCTTACAGCGCCCCCTTGTGGCAGAATAGCAAAAATCACAGGTAAAGAAGAAATTTGCCTGGATTTGCAGCCAAGAGTAAACTCTTAACTGGTACAACTGATAGTAATAATAAAGCATTTATATTTAAAATCTCATACCCTCCTAATCTTTTTCTACTTATAACAATGTAACCATTTCTCACAAGAAAAATGTTATTGCCATCTCCTCTCAGAGACACAACGAACTAGGCAAGGCGGCACATACATGTAATCCCAGCACTCAGATGGTGGAAACAGAATACCAAGGTTCAAGGTCTGCTTGGGCTACAAAGTGTCGTTCTGTTTTGAAAATGAAAGAGAGAGCAGGTCAATATAGCCATTGTGTCCATCTCAGAGACTGATGCGCTCCATCCCTGGGCTATGATACCCTAACCACTTGTTAGCAATCCCACCTGAATTTTCTGCTGCCTAGAAATGAAATGGTAACATTAAACTTCAGCAAAATCTGTATTTAATAAGAAAGAGGATTCCAGGCAGAGTGGAGTAACAGGCTTCCCTCTGGCCTGGAATAGTTGAAGAAATCAACCCGAGTACTGATCATCGCATGTCTAAGGAAATTGCTCGAGGGAAGGAAACTCCAGCTCACCTGCACCGAGAACAGGGATTGTTCCCCCAAGCCAGAGAAGAAAATCTCCTAAATTGGGGATATACAGAGACACAAAGTTTTTGCCTCAGAGAACATTAACCATTCATCAAATCAAGAACTCACAAAACAGCTTAAAAGTAGATACAAACAACAACAGCTTGTTAATAACTTTCAAATGACTAGACCAAAGTTCAAGAACTGTAAGAATAGGAAAACTATAGAACACTCAATAAAATTAAAATTTACTATGCCTGGCATACAAATAAAAATAACCAGACATGAAAAGTGACAACCACAAACTATAACTTATAATGAGGAGAAAAATCTATCAATAGACACTGTCCCAGAGATTATACAGATGGCAGAACTAAATGAGGATACGTAAAAAACAAAACTGTATATATCTGAGTAACGACAGGGCAGGCCAAACATGCCAAGAACATAAAAAAAGGAATGTGTAGAGAAAATTATTTATGTTTGGAAGGTAATTTAAAAGACCCACATTGAACTATTAGAGATAAAAACTGTAAATGAAATTTTAAAAAATATTTAAATATCACACTGGATGGCATTTAGGATAGATAGAATGTTGCCAGAAAAAAGACTAGGATAAACAGGAAAACAAATGCGATACAAAGTATCCAGTGAAATGTGGAGAGAAAAAACTGAGCATTGATGAGGTATGGGTCAGCTTCACACTGCTTATTAGACCTGCGATTTATGTCCACAGAGAGGCTGAAAAGAACATTTGAAGGAATAATTCCCCCCCCCTCCAATTTCTAAATATTCTGAAGACCTCTTTCCAAGAATTTGCATTTATTTAGTTTTTCAAACTAACCTGACTGGTACAACTGAAGGCAAGTTGTACACAACTATTACCTAGCATAATAAACCCAATTTTAAGATTGTGCCATGAAAGGCTTTCTTGACTGCAAATGGAGACCACTGCTCTTCGTTCATTATTGTTACTTATTGTCTTTAACGTTGTATGACATGTGCCAGGTACAGCAGCACTATTTCCTGTAGAGAACAATGTGAAGACGACACACAGCATGGCTAACACTAACATGCATTTACAAAGTACAACAGGTACATTAACAATTACCTTCAACACACGGTGTCATTTTGAAGTTGTGGAATGTATAATATAGTATTATGGCAAATATGGACTTATCATATCTATTACTTCTTTGGCACCTTCTTGCTCTATGCATCTCTCTTTCCATTCCAGCTTTGAAACATGAATAAGTGGAACGTGGAAGAAGAAACCTAGATAAAAATTTCTTTTAAGAGACGACAACAAGAGAATCTAGCAGGATCCTGTGCCTTTCCTGAAGCATCAGTGATCTAGATAGAAGTCAGGTGTCTGGCTTTTCCAGGTCACATTCAGCCAGTCTTCCAGATACTACTAAAAGAGGAAACAGAAGCAAGAATCTTTGTTAATGGAGACAAGTGTGGAAGGACAAACACATTTCTGACATTATTTCCAGCTAGAAATGAAAGACGATACAGTAATAAATGTTTCTTTATAAACCTTTGATTTAGTTTGTTACACTAGACACTTTTGTAATAAGGAGCACTGCTAGAGAAGCAACTCTGTTCATTTGTATTTAGGGCACAGTTGGGCATGTTAAAAAGAATTAGTTCGCTGGAAGAGCCTGACATTCCAAAGGCTCTTTGTTAATAGCAGTTTGATGAGGTAGAGAGGTATCAGGGCAGCCTCGGGGTAGTGGTGGTTACAGCATCTATAACAGTTAAGACAGTTCTTCTAACCTAAGCCCCCATTCTAGGGGATAACCCAATGCACCCCTGGGATTAAAAAAGTGCCTGGAAGTAGCAAGCACTCTTAAGTCACAAGGAGTCCTGCTTAATCAGGGTCGTTTGCAGTCTTCTGTTCTAGGGGCAAATAGCACATACATTAGTGAAGCGATGTGGAGGGCTCCCTACAGAGCAACACATCCTCTTCCTCTGTGAGCTCTGGCTCTGCTCCTCACCAGAAGGTACTATTGCCACACTTCCATTACTGTTTTTCAGGCTTCCCACAATCCTGCTATGCAGAAGTGAGGGGTTTGCTCAGTGGACCAAGCTCTAGCAAAGTTACTAGAACCTTCAATGTTTCTCAACTTCGCCACTACTGATTTTCGCAGCACAGAGATGCTTTGTGATACAGCGCAGGGTGTTAGCAGCATCCCGGGCTTCTAGGCACTTACGCTAGCATTAGCACCTTCCATGCTGCCTCCAAGCACACATGCCTCTGTCAGCTATCTCAGGAGACAAACTCACTCCCAACTGGGGTACCGCCACATCAGCGATGAAAAGATGGCTTTAAAATGTAAACTGCATCATGCACTTTACTCCCTTGCGTCATTTTTTTGATGATCTCAGAATAAAATTCAAACTCTTCACTATGATTTCCAAGAAACTGTATGAACTGGCATCTTCCTCTTTTTTTTTTTTTTTTTGACTACACTCTCATATACTAACTAACTGGTCTCTGTTCCACAAACATCTTCCGTTTGCTCCCACTGGCCTTTTAGGTTGGCTTTTCCTTCTGTCTAAAATGCAGTCTCTCTGAGCCCACACAATCGCAGATCAAACGTCACACAATTAACAAGGCTTTCCCTCACCATATTGTCTAAAGGACCTCCCCGTTCTCTACCACAACACATCTTTCCTTCCTGGGAGCACAAGAGAACACCGTCTTACTTCCTGCCTTGTTTCTGCCTTGTCCCGAAAGGAAGATCTTAGTCTTTTCCAGTGTTAAGGCTGACATGCTTTGACTAGTACCTCGTACACAGTAGATACTCAGTAACAATCTTCCGCCAACCTCACCCCTCAGGTCAGGTGTCAACAGCTTCCTCTTCACTTTCCCTTCCAAGATTTTTTTTTTTTTAATTAATTAGTTTGCCTGTTTTTTTCTAACACCCCTGACCTATTTTAAAGTGTAGGTGTAGTACTGTGTATAAAAACTTAACATACGAAAGCTTATTATGAAATACAAATAAAGGCCAATTAGTAATTCAAAAGACAATTCTTTGCCCTGTAGGTTTCATGCATTATGTAATCAAGCCAGTGGTCATGAATTCACGGCCAGTTTGGTCCCTCTTCGCAAATTTCAAGTGGTCAAGACATTCTAGAGGGACCTAAGACTACAAAACTTACCTGGTGCAGAGACTCAAAGAGCCTCTACGTCCACCGGCCGGGTATATGCAGTACCGCAAGTCTGAAACCCTTCTGTGCTGGCTTCAAGTTAAATAGTACTCTGGGTCAATAGCAGGGTGGTCTAAGGTGCTGCAAAGTCAATACATGTTGGCAGCGCCCCGAAACCACAGTCTGTTTCTTACATTGATTTATGGGCTGATTCCATGAAACCAAAGATGCTTGGCTCTCCTGGAAGCTGGCTGGCGGGCAACTGGAAGCCCTTCGGTCCTGGCTAAGGGTCAGGGCCCTTGGGCACCACTTTCATCGGGCCATTTTGGCACTCTGGCGAGCAGCTTTCTTGTCCCACCTGGCTGGGCTTTCTACACGGTGCACAGTCGTCTCCACCCGCAGAGATGACGACGCCCTGACGTGGCTGGAGGACGTTTCCCTGCTCTGCGAGGAGGTTTCCACGTGCTGGGAGGACACCTCGAGGAATCCGGGGAGTCGCTTCGTGGAGGGGGTGAGGGAGGGCCCCTCTCGGTGGCGCAGAGACGTCTCCACCTGCCGGGAAGACGTTCGAACCTGCCGGGAGGAAATCTCCACGCGGTGGGATGATGTTTCCTCGCGGTGGGACGACGTCTCCACGAGGACAGTCTCCTTGTGGCGGGTGCTTTCCACTCGCGGGGCAGAGGACTTGCCCCTAAGGGGCGAGGCCATCCTGCCGGTACACCCAGGTCAGGAGGGACAAAGAGGCCTAAGGCCCAGGCTCTGCATCACGTCACACAGGGAAAGGTGACGTCAGGGTGCTGTGCTACGTCAGCGTAGGCCGAAGGACACGTAAGCCGCGAGGTCCACCACGCCCCGCTCGATAACTGCGCGCGCAGACGGCCCGGGCTCCAACATAGGCGGAGCCTCTCGTCTCAGAATGAGGCTGTCCCCGCCTCCGTGTTCCACCCTGCCCCGCGACCGGAAATAAGAGTTGTGGTTTCCGGCTCCTCCCTCACCATTCGAGGCTGCCGATCTGTCGGCTGGTTGTGTTTGCGTCTCTCTGCAGGTTATGGCCGCGGCCGTCGCTATGGAGACAGGTGCGTTAAGCCCTGTGTCCCGAGTCTTCACCGAAGGAACGGTTCTCCGCCCCAACCTCCTCTCCCGTTTCCCCGCGCGGTCTTTCAGGCTTAACTCGCATCCTTCGAGTTGGGAGTGGATGGGGAAAGGCGGTGTTGTCTCTCAGATTGTGGCGTGTGTGAACATCTTTGCTCCCAGACTGCTCAAACCCCCTATTCCTTGGTTCCCGGGCCGGGGTGGGGCTGAGGGAGAGGACCGATCCCTTCAGCTGTCTGCTCTTCGGAGCTTTTCTCGTGAACGTGCTTTAAATGTCGGTAACTTGGGTATCGCTCTAATACGGATTACCGCCCTCGCTCCGCTGTTTAATCATTTTGCATCTTGCTTCCTATATGGCGCTTTGTTTTTCCTTAACGTACTCACTGTTAGTAGTAGTGGTTATAACGCATTAATATATGGGGCGGCACAGCTATTAGAGACTATCCAGTGATCTCTGTTAACGACCTTACATAGTGGCCTACAGGTGGTAAATATCCATTCCATTTATTTTCCTCAACTAATTTTAGAGAATTTCTTTATTGTGTTTGTTTTGTTCTGGAGAAAGGGTCTCACTATTACTGTCAAGCCTAGAACTAGCGACCCGCACCAGGCTGGCCTCCATCTGTCTCCCAAATGCTGGGATTAAAGGCGTCCACCACCACGCCCAGCTTGTTTTGGTTTGTTTTAAATTAGGCTCCACTCTTAAGATTTCTAAGGAAGTTTCTCCTGAATTTTGAATGTTTTTTATAAATTGATACGCCATGCGGTGCATGTCAGAGGACAACTTGTGGGAGTCTTTCTGCAGCCCTGTGGGTTCCCGGGATGAACTCAGGTCAGCAGCCTTTGCTGCAGCACCTTACCTGCTGAGCCATCTCACTTTGATTTTTGTTTATTTCTGTTTCTACAAATCAACATTCGTATCCTGACTTTATTTTGGGTGTTTTTTTTTTTCTGTCTTATCTCCTAGATGATGCTGGAAATCGACTTCGGTTTCAGTTGGAGTTGGAATTTGTGCAATGTTTAGCCAACCCAAATTACCTGAATTGTAAGTTGAGTACATCATTGAGTTGAGTAGCTAGCTGTTGATGATTTCTAACATAGAGATGTAATTCATAAGAATATTTACTTTGATACGTTTGAATGGGATTTTTACTTGCACTGGTCTGTAGGTATTAACTGAGCAAACAAGAACTTGTGTTTTTTAATTCCTTGTGATTTGATGGTAGGGATGTTAAAAGAGCTACTTTATTAGAGATTACAAGACAGTGGTCCAGCAACTGGTTGACATGCAGATTGTTTCTTTATGCCTTTCAGTTCTTGCCCAAAGAGGTTACTTCAAAGACAAAGCTTTTGTTAATTACCTTAAGTACTTGCTTTACTGGAAAGAACCAGAATATGCCAAGTATCTAAAGTAAGTTTAATTTTTATAATCTTAAATCTGTGTATACTTTATTATAAATACAAAATACTGATACTTAGCAGTTTTCTTAGTGTCAGAACGGAAAACTGTTTTGAATCATTCTGCTTTTAGTTAATGTAAGACATTGTCATCTCTAACTTGGATTATTAGAGGAATCTCATTTGTTTCTGCTACCATTCTTACCTCACTCTTCAAACCAAACGAAGCCAGACAGTTGTCTGTGGAAGCCAACTTACTCTCTTAGTAATAAAAATCAGGACATGCCACTTGTATTAATGTAGGGTAAAATCCAGTTAACTGGTTTTAGACTGAGGCTCTAATGTGATTTGGTCTTGTCTAACCTTGTTATTTAACACCCCCTTGTCTCTGTGGTTTCTAATCTTACCAACCCATAAAGTACTAAGATGCAGCGGCACAGCCAGAAGCTGAAATGAACACATAGGAAGCAGTGTTTTCTGGGAGTCTCAGACTGCCTTTCTTTATAGTGTCCTGTGTGTCAAGCACTGTGCTAAATGTATTGTGTACATTAACTCGCTGTAAAAAAACAAACACGGACTCTATCAAGCTGTTCATAGACAGTTTCATTATAGGACTTACTAAACTATGAGAAACATTACAGTCACACAACTGCCCCTTTTAATGGTAAAACAAAACCTTGAACTCACATTTCTGCTTTGTCTTAAAAAAAGAAAAAAAGAAAAATAAGCTGGTATACACCTTTAATCCCAACATTTGGGAGGCAGAGGTGGGTGAATCTCTGAGTTCAAGTCCATACTTGTCTACAAAGCTACTTCTAGGACAGCCAGGGCTACACAGGTAAACCCTGTCTTGAACTCCCCCTCCTCCAAAGGGGTGAACAACAAAAAATCCAGAAGTTTAGCCTGATGTCCCTTTAATCTAGCTCTCAGGAGGCAGAGGCAGGCTGATCTCTGTGGGTTCGAGACCAACCTGGTTATGTAACAAGTTTCAGGCCAGTCAGGGCCACATTGACAGACCCTATCTTAAAATTAGAGGAAAATCACTTTTCTGAATTGATTCTGGGCTGCCTGAGAACTGACTGCATTCCAGTGTGCCCTTTGTGATGCAGTTGTTGGTTCCTGCAGGAATCCAAAGGGAAGACTTATGCTATTATTAGCAGATGATAATGCTAGTGCTAGCAGATTACAGACTGGGCATTCAAAGTCTTGGTCATCTTTAAGTTCAGTCTCCCCAGCAGAGTTGTTGGCTGAGCATATGTCACTGTTAGAGGCAGCTCACTCGGTTGACGGCCAGAGCTTCCTTATATTGTGATCAGACAGACTTCCTTGTAGCTCTAACCTATTTGTTGTTTTTGTTTGCTTGTTTTTCTGTTCATCTATTTCCTCTTGGAGACAAAAGCTATAGATGTTTAAATTCAAGAGAGGTTGGAAATTAACCCCTTTTGGGCAATTTTATTATATCTGCACATGGTTCTAGATTTTTAAAATGGTTGTCAAAATTTAAAGATGAGAAGGTTTTATGGAACAGAATTCCAACTCTTGGAACTTGGGAAGAGCTGAGGCCTTCTTTTTCCCAGGTAAGCAGCTGTCTCTTCCGTACTTCCAGCACGTGGCCTGCTTACTGATAACTAGTGCCTGCAGCTGCAGTGTTTTTCTTAAACACGAGGTTCTTAGCGGCCTTCAGTCAGTGTTTTAGTGCGTGTTTGCCAGAGTTCTCAGGAATCTTTGATTATCTGGCAGTTCAACAACAACAAAACAAAACAAACAAACTAAACATAGGCCAGGCAAAGTGATACATGACTTTAAACCCTGCACTTGGAAGGAGCAGAGGGAAATTTCTGAATTTGAGGCAAACCTGGGCCATATAGTGAGACTTGGCTCAAAATAAAATAATGTGGGAGAGGGAGGGTGGCTGGAGAGATGGCTTAAGTGTTTAAGAACACTTGCTGCTCTTGTAGAGGACCCGGGTTTGGTTCTTAGCACGAAATGGTGGTCACATCCATCCAAAACTCCACTTCCATAAGTTCTGATGCCTTTTTACTCTGAAAGCACTATACATACATGATACATAGACACAAGCACCAAAATGCCTGTTCACATAAAAATAAAAATAATAAAAATTTAAAAACAAACTAAACATAAGCCTTCAAATGTGCTCAGGGTATCACAGACTACATGACATTTCTGTTTCTTGTGATAATTCAACATAGCTGACTATACTTTTTTCGAGTGGAAGAGGGTTGGGAGTCAAACTGTTGACTTCCTGAAAGCTTTTACCAATTAATATCCACCAGTTATTTCCATGAATTGAATGCTGTTATTATTATTGTTATTGGTTTTTCAAGACAGGGTTTTGAAGCTTGTCCTGGACCTCACTCTGTAGACCAGGCTGACCTTGAACTCACAGAGATTTGCATAGTCCTTAGTCTAATGTATTTAAGAACACTGTGGCAGTGGTGGCGCACGCCTTTAATCCCAGCACTGGGGGGCTGAGGCAGGCAGATCTCTGTGAGTTCAAGGCCAGCCTGGTCTACAGAAGCTAGTTCGAGGACAGGCTCCAAAGCTACAGAGAAACCCTGTCTCAAAAAACACAATAAATGAGAAAATGATCACTGCCTAAATTCCAGTTACTTATTGCTACTTAAGGCCATTCTCTTGCTAGTCACATTATTTTACATACAGAGAAACTGAACTTAAGTTTAAATGCTGTCTTTAAAGTCAGAACTGAATCTTTTAAATTATGATGTGCCATGAAAGAGAATTAGCTAGTATAGTGGGAGTAGAGCATTCTGGGCTATTACAATTACAGATAACTCTTCATTTGGACTATAAATAAAGCCTTTGCTGGAAAGGAAGCATAGCAGTGTTCTGCAGTGGAGCCATAGCCATTCCTACCCTCCACCCCATACATACCCTCTTCTCATTTCCTTCTCACCTCCTCATCCTCCAGGACCAAATTAATTAGCATTGACAAGAAAAATACCCCAGACAGGCAAGCTGTAAAATCTCAACAGCTGTTCAAAGGAGGGAGAATGGAAAGGAGAAGGAAAAAAAGCCTTGCCCCTTGAGTTAAGCTGAAGTGGATGGTAGTCTCACTGGTGGGAAGGGAGGCAAAGAAAAAGTATGGACACCCAAAACGTTAGGGAAGGCATGCTTGGCAGAGAGATAGGAGGAAGAAAAGAGAAAGTTACACTTTGTCTTGACTTTTCTGAGTAATTCCAAAGGGCAGACAAAAGCTGCATTGGAATGAGTGTCAGGATCTTCACTTTGATAGAACATTAATATTCATCTACTATGTAGTCTGTAGACCCCATTATTATGTAGTCTGCAGGTCCCATTAGATTCTGTCTATTGTCCTACTGGTGTCCTGTTTCTAGAGTGGCATCCAGTCTAGCCTTATATACCACATTTTATCATCCTGTGTTCTCCTCCTTTACTCCCTTTTTTCTCCCCTCCTTTATTCCCCTCCTTTTTCACTCAAACTGTTTCTTTCTCACTCTGACCAAACACTGACTTGCTACTTTGTTACTTTGTTCTTCTTGGTTTGTCATAATCCAGAGTCAGGTGAAGTCTTGTTTGTCCCATTAGTGATAATTATTATTTTGGAGGAGAGATCTTTCAGTATAACCCTACATGGCCCTCAAAATCTGTCTACTTTTCTTAAGTTTCCTGAGTCCTAGGAGTACAGGTCTGTGCCCAGTAATGTATATGATTCTTGTGGAGTTAGTTGACTCATATAAATAAGATTATCCTTTTATGATTCCTAATGGAAAACCAGTAACTATTTACTAAACATATAACTATTTTCAAAGTCTTAAGAGCCAGTGAGATAGCTCAGTGGGTAAAGGTGCTTGCTTGCAAGCCTGATGAGTGGAGTTTGACCCCTAGGACTCTGATGGTGACCTCCACAAGTATCCCATGGCATGTGCTCACTCTCCCTCCCACACAAATAATAAATGCAATAAAATTTATAAATTAAATAGTGCTCATGTTCCTCACTTAAACTAAAAGAGTATAGTTTATCTACCAATTTTGATCCTGCTTACCAGTTTACTGGGTTGTGTGGTCTTGAACAAGTTACTTAAGGTGTTTAAACTTTAATTTCGCATGTTCTGAAATAACATGGTGGGAGTGACATCGCCAGAGGTACTACAGTAATAGAAATGGTAGGCTTGAGATCATTTTTAGGGGAGTATCTGAATTGAACTTGGATGCCTTAAATTATGTTGATAATTAACTTACGAACTTAAACCCAGGTACCCTCAGTGTTTACACATGCTAGAACTGCTCCAGTATGAACACTTTCGAAAGGAGCTGGTGAACGCTCAGTGTGCAAAATTCATTGATGAACAGCAGATTCTACACTGGCAGCACTATTCCCGCAAGCGGATGCGTCTTCAGCAAGCACTGGCAGAGCAGCAACAACAGAATAACACAGCAGGAAAATGAAGAGCTGGGACAGACCAGGCTCTTAGGACATGTATATAATGTATTGCTATGTACAGTACTGATAAAAGATGGTTCTTCCTGCCCACCTTTATTATGGTAGCACTCAGAACCGTCAGTATTATTTTTGGCCAGCAAACTTTATATTGTTAATAGATCATTGCTGTTAAACCAGAATTGTTCTACTTTAATTTCTCTGGGGATTTGTAAATTTCATTTGCATTTAATAGAACCAAGTGAATAAGAATGTAAATGTTGGTTGTTATAGAGCGGTTTAAGAACATGGATGCGACATACAGGGGTACTGAGATCAGCTGCTCCAACCATCTCAGGAGAGAGGAGACTGTAGTCAGGAACTACATGAAGATTCCTTTCTACAGGAGAGGACATACTCAGTTGCTTCCCGCTTTTTAAGATAGCTGACCTCTAGTGGCAGGGAAAGACTGGTAGTTAATGACTAATTGGATTCTTGTTCTTAAAGGTAGGAGCCTCAAATACCTTTCTTTGAAAAAGTTAGCACTTGGGTATATTCCCAAGAGTGGTATGGGGGCGGTGGCGGGGAAGAGACAGAAATCTTAACTAAATAAATAAGACCAGAAAAAGAAAGAAAAAAGAAAAAGTTAGCACTTATTCATTAAGTACCACAAGTAGGCACTGCCTTAAAAAGCTTCTTTTAATCTGTTCCAGAATATTTTTATGTGAATGTGTGAATTGTTTGCATGTGTGTGTACCACGATGTGCCTGGTGCCCAAGGCAACCAGTAGAAGAGAACATATGAAGTTGAAGGTGGTCGTGAGTCACCATGTGGTGCTAACCATGTGGTGCTAGGAACCAAACCTGAATCCTCTGCAAGAGCAGCAGATACTGTTAACCACCGAGCCATCTCTCTAGCCCTTATTTTTTCTCTGAATCAGGTTTCACTTTGTAGCCCAGGCTGCCTTGGAATCTGTGATCCTTCTACCTCAATCTCCAGAGTACTGGACTTAAAGATAGCTACTAGGCCTGGCTCACATGCTGCTTTTTTTAAAAAAATTATTTTATGTGTGTGAATGACCTACACAATGTATGTCTATACCACTTGCATGCCTGTTTCTCTCAAAAGCCAGAATAGTCCAGATCCCCTGGACTTGGAAGTTATAGACAGTTTTGAGCTGCCACGTGGGTTCTGGGAATCCCCTAGTGAGTGCTCTTAATCACTGAAAGACCTCTGCAGTTCACATTTTTCTTTTAATTGTACAACAATAATTGGGCTTTTCATCTGCAACAAAGTCTGGTCCTGTATGTAGTCCACCCCTTGCTTCAAATTCGTGATTGATTGCTTTAGCCTCTAAAGTAATAAGGTAACATGTGTATCACTATGCCTGACACAATTGTTTTTTGAAGAAATTGAGATTTAGACAGTAACTTGCCTGTGGCTAAGAGAACCAGCCTGTCTCCAAGAGAATTACATTTTAGACAGTTGTGAAACGAAACTGCCTGAATTAAGCATATACATTCTTCCAAGTGTCTTCCCTAAATGGTTTTAGTGAAGTTCTGCATTTCAAAGGCACAAAATGGTTTTGCAAATACACAGAATTTAAAGTAACAGATCCTAACAGCTGTAGATTTTTTGGGAGTTACTTTTTATCTTCTGTATATCCTCTGAGCTACTACTGACATACTGAAGACCCATTTAACTCAAATCTTTTAGATAGCCATGTGTTACAAAGCTAACTGGAGATTCGTGTTTTAATTCTTTATTGTTTAAACATACACTGATCAATTCAATTAATTCTTTTAAGCAAACCAAGAAATCAAGACACAATTATGATCATCAGTTTTTTTTTCTTTTCCTTTTTTTTTTTTTTTTTTTTTTTTGGAGACAGGGTCTCTCTGTGTAGCTCTGGCTGTCCTGGAACTAGCCATTTAGACCAGGCTGGCCTTGAGCTCACCAATCTACCGGTCTCTGCCTCCCAAATGCTGGGATCAAAAGTGTGCTCTACCACCACCCAGTGCTATCACCAAATCTTAATCTTCAGCGAATATCATTTCCAGGAGAGGGGCCTGAAGGCACTCAGATTCCACAAGTTTTTGAGGCTGTAAAAAAAGAATGGTTGAGTTTTAACCACTGCTATGAGATGTTATTAGGGGTGGAGTGAATTCTACTTTGAAGGACATTTTTGAACATAGAAATATTGTCATCAGCTAGCCAAGCCTGTTGGTGCATACCTTTAATCCCAGTACTCAAGAGGCAGAGACAGGCAGATCTCTGTGAGTTTGAGAACAGCGTGGTCGACAGACTGAGTTACAGAACAGCTGGGGCTACACAAAGAAACCCCGTCACAAAAAAACAACAACAAAACTAATGGAACTAACTATCAGCTAGTTATAACAAGCTTTATGAAGTAGTTAAGATACTTATGATGAATCATTAAAATACTTGGCCTGAAGGGCCTTAAAATTCTTTACCAGGAAGCCCCATAGACTGGAAACAAGAGATGGCAAGCCCAGTGCCATCTCCTTCCCTTGACTCTTTAATTTAGGATCCAGGGCTGAAATAAAGGGGGAGCCCTCTTAAACCTCAAAAAGAGTGTTAGAAAACATTGGCACGGGTGCTTTCAGGAATGAGTCAGCACTCTGCTGAACAAAGAATCTTAAAGGCAGCTGGAAAATTCTCCCTAACTTTTGCATTCTTAATAGTTCCTTGGGACTGGCAGGGAAATGGGCACCAACTTGTGCTTCTGATGCACTCTGAACAACAGTGTGATGATGTTGGGAGTTAAATGTTAGGCTTTCTTCAAACATGAATCTAAAACAACTTGAGCCTTAATGACATCATAGCCACAACATAAAGGTAGATAGATACTCACCGTTCCATATTTAAGTAGTGTAGGCACTGCGGTTAATTTCAGTTTTTGTCTGAAGTCATTATTTGGGTCTTTCCAGCTATTCCAAAAAGAAGGGATCATGAAAATTACTACTTGGTTTATTACACTTTACTCAGCCAGGGATCTATACGTAGTGTATTAGTAATCATTGTTTTTGGTAGAGTTTAAGCATTTTGAGGACTGTAACTTAGTATCACCCTCTACAAAGTTTACATTTAAAGTGTGAGTAGGAGAAAATACAAATGTAAAGTCAATAGCATTCTGAACTTATTCCAGACCAAATTCAATTATACTATGTGGCTGAACATAAGCATTAAATTTGAATTCAGTAATTCTAATTGTTTGGCTTATCCGACATTACCTAAAACACAGAGCCTGAGCAAATACCTGAAGTCCTTTCCACCCAAGTTTTTAAGAACTAGCCCATGTCTGGAGATGTTTACATGGTGTACATGATTACTTACTAAGATTTGTCTCCTACTTGGCAGTAGATGAACACGCAGTCTTCCGTAACATGCTTCAGCCCCTCTCGAACGACTGGCTCAGCTTTTTAAAAAAAGTTAAAGTAATTACACATCAACTGTGATAGCTCGTGTCCTGCTCCCACTTCGTAGACTTTAACCTCCAATAAGAATGAGGATGTTAAAGTCATGTGTTCTTTTCTGGACTGGAGAATCACTAAGTCCTAGTCCTGACTGTCCTAAGACACACACGCAGAACATCAGAAAGCATACGTACTTGCTAATGTAACGACCAACTCATGAGTCCTGTAGGACATTTGGGACCGAGAATTTTAAAAAATCAGGTTCCAAATCTGAGTTCATGATAAAAATGAGGGCCACGCTTGGGTGGAGCGAATAAGGACCTAATGGGAGACAAGGGGACAGTTCATACTCTTCTGCAGGTCTACGGGACTAAGATCTTCATCTTTGCCCCTATGATCCCACTTTCTGGCTTTAGTCGGGGCCTTCTTCCCAACACTTAATGCAGTGCAGCAACCCCCAGCCCCAGTCTCACCTTCCACGCAGTCCGGACACCAGCTCTTCCCTTCGGCATCCTTAGAACCGCTGAAGTAGGCAAAAATGGTCTTGCCCTGGTACTCCTTTACAGCCTGGTCGAACTCCTCGAAGCCGGACACGCTCACCTCCTTGTAGGTGGCCATCGGTTCAGTCTCGAGAGTTGTCTGGGACGCGCTCTGGGACGCGCTCTGGGATCCTGCCATCTCAAGGCGGGGCCCAAGGCGGGCGTGAACAAGTTTCCGGGTGGGAGGTACCACTGGAGCTGCATCATGCTACGGGAGCCTCAGATGGCCATGATTCGGCAGAACAGTCGTTTTGATCTGCTGGAGTTTTCTTTTTGGCGCCAGCTCCCTTCTGACATCTAGACTTCTGACCTGGTCTGGTCCCCATCCTGGCCTCATGTACAGTGAGCACAAAACCCGTTGCAGTACAATACCTTGCTCTTCAGATGGCTCAGGAAGCTCAACGGTTCCCAAGCGGCCCCGCGCTTGTTGCCATGGTGACTGGGCGAGAGGCCGGAAGCGAGGCCTAGCTTCTGGTTGCCTGTCCATCTCCGGGTCGCCGCACCTTGCCTAGGCCAGGTGGGCTCGGGCCGGAGGCTGGGGGAATTGTGGGAAGTTGCATTAGGCAGAGGGGACAAGCGAGAGGAGTCCTTGTCCCGGCTTGTCTTGCAGCTCCGCCCCTCCAATTACCTTTCCATTTGTCAGGCTTTAGGGGGGCCTGGGCGGGGGGGGGGGGGGGGGGGGGGGGGGGGAGGGGGGCGGCGTCCGGGACTGGGCGGGGGTACGGAGAGAGCTAGGAGGCAGAAAGGCGGCGAGGGCCGGACCCGAGTGTTGTGAGTGCGTGTGCGGGGCATGCTGTCTAGGGGAACAGGTGCAAAGGCAGCGTGCCCGAGGTTGCGTTGGGGAAAGGAATTGTCCAGGAGCTGCGAACCCGGCGGTGGGCCACGGGGCCCTTGCTGGAGCAGCGCAAGTGTACTCTAGCAGCAAAGATGCCGGCTCGAAGTGTGGTGGCCGGCAGGTCGCGGCGGGGTGTTCGGCCACTGTGGGCAAGGAGGTGGGGTGCAAGGATGTCCCGAGGCTATGGAGGAAGGCGCTGGGCGAGGTCTTTAGTGCGGCGGCTGCGCTCCGCTGGCACAGGGAGGTTGCAGGATGGTCGGCCGCCTTTGGGGATGAGACGAGCTGTGAAGCCCGCGGTACCCCCTGGGGTGAACAAGGCCTTTGGTACACCTAGGACTGCAGGCTCGGTTGAGGCAGCAATGAACCCCGGAGCAGTGTGGGTGAACGGGGCTGTGGGCGAGCCAGAGGTGATTGGGCCTGCTGGGTCTGTATGGGTGACTAGATCTGAGCAGGAGTTGCCAGAAGATAGTAGTCCACCAAGCTGTGAGAGAAAAGGTCTACCAGGAACACTTGGCCACGAGAGCATCCTGGAACTGTGGTTGAAGGTACAGGCTATGAGGGTAGCTTCAGAATGCTGGGAAGGAAGCAGAGTGGAACTCCATCCTGTTCCTGCGGGAGAGGGGCCAGTCGAAAAGGGTGTTCCTGGGAGAGCTTCCTGGATAGAGACCAGCCGAGATGGTGTCACAGGACCCTGGGTGAGAGGACATACCAGGCCATTCCCCCGGGCCTCAGGACTACCCTCAGCTAGGGGAATAGGGGCAGGTTGTGAGAGACCCTCCATCTTCTGTAGGCAGGGACAAGCTGGAAAGCCGCCTCCTGCTGTGGGTGGAGCTGGAGTAGTGGAGAAGATAGGCAGTGCTGCCTCGGGCCCTTGGAAAGACAGACAGACTGTGGGGGTGCCTGTGGCCATAGGATGGTCAGAGGCTGTGAAAACGTCCAGAGCTGGAGATGTGATGGAATGTGGAGATGTGCGACGGGGGAGGGCAGTCTGTGCAGGTTTCTGGGGCTCTGGCAGAAGAAACTGTATCTGGGCCTATGTTATGGGAAAGGGGGCAAATTGTAGGGCCCCCTGATGCCTTGATGGTCTTACCCAGGACCGTGGAAGATGAAACTTCCTCCCAGGGAGCCACAGGGTTGTGGCAAAGGAGACAAGAGATGGAGGATATGGGTTCTAGGGGTATTCCTGGCCTCGGGGCCATGGGGCAGTCTGTAGGAGTGCCTTGTGCTAGAGTAGAGGGAGCTAGATGTGGAGGTGACCCAGGGTCCTGGGGAGCTGCACAGGCTGCAGAGCTGTCTGCTTCTGAGGAGCAAGAGGCAGGTTCTCGAGGTGCCCAGGGCCTGTGGGGTATAGAACAGGCAATGGGAGCACCCAGGGCTTTGGGTAAGGAGGCAGATGATGCGAGTGTTCCAGGACTATGGGGAACAGGCCAGATGCCGGGCTTGCAGAGTGTGGTGCTGTCAGGAGACAGGGGAGAAGAAACTAGCTATGATGTTTCAGGCCTGTGGGAGAGGCAGCAAGCTCTGGGGACTCCTCTTGCTGAGGCATTACCAGGGCCAGTTATGGAAGAGACACACGGTGGGAGTCTCCTAAGCCTGTGGGAAAGAGAGCAGGTCATGAGAGAGCAAGAGGCTCAGGGGCCTGCAGCTTTAGGGGTAGCCGGGGCTATGGATCAGGGTGACAGTTGTGGAGCTCTCTTGTGTCCTTGTGGGAGGGGGCGGGCTGTTGTGATGCCAAAACACATGTGTGCCCCAGAAAGAGTAGTACCCTCAACTCTGGGTATACCTGATGCCTTGTGGGTATGTCAGGAGAGCAG